AGTACTTTTGGATCCTCACAGATGCGTGGCCTGTTCTTTTCGAGGTGTTACCTGGGAGACGTACTACGTTCAAGCAGGATGTGGCTGCCCGCTTACAGGTTGAGCCCCATCGCTTGATGTTATCTGCGACGGTCGCCTCACAAGTGGAGTCCTTGTTGCAACCGAGCAGCTCAATGGTTTGCCTTGCCCCCCTGCGCGACTCTCGTCAGGTCATGTCGTTGTTGTCGATGCTCGCAAAGTGTTACAAGGCTTCACTTGGCTCATTGTGCACGGGCCCTTTCTTCTCGCTATAAGCGAGTTACCGACCTTTACATTGAAAGGTCCCCCCCCGAACACATTGTCATAGTTAGGGGAGCTAGGACTGTTCAGCGACACGATGAACTTTGTCTTGAGGTGCAAGCTGGTTTGACTCTCACTATTGAATATTGCGAGGACTTGCCCAGCTTTGAGTCACCAGAGAGCCCCCCTCCGCCTTCCGACGCTGATGGCCCCGGGCCCGGGGATGGTGACGATGACGATGACTCTCCTGTTCATGGCCATGACGCAATGACCCGAGGTTCCCGTAATCGTAGCCGCACCCCTAGACAGGTCGTGCGTTTGACTGCTGATGCGCGCACTGACTCGCATCATACAGCCTCCAGTGTTTCTACAGATGCGGCTCCTAGGCATGGTATGTGGAGCGACAGGCTTTTACGTGACGTTCTTGCAGAGAACACCTGCCGCCTCACCCCTACCATAAAGGTGCCCACTCTGTTTGGATTCTTTGGAGTTGTCAGCCCCTGCACTGTCCTTCGGACCTTTGCTGCAGTATACCGCACCGGACCTGCAACGCTTTCAGGCTTGCTTGCCCATCTTCAGCTTGTTGCCAGGTTTTGGTGCACCACACGGGCTATCGAGGATACTCCCTACTCTGCTGTCGATCCTCCCTTTGGCCTTTTGCCAGCTCCTGCCCTGGACGAACAGCCTCTGCCAGCCTCTTCATCCGACGATTCGGATGATACACCTTTGGTCATCGAAACTGCTTTTGCAATCTTGACGCCTGACTACTGTCATGAGGTTCTCCGGCTGCAGCTCTTGGTGCCACAAACGACTGAGGAAGCGCTTGAAGTTGTCGATACATGCAGGAACCAGCAACACAAGGCCGTCTTTCCGGACCTCTTTTCGGTTTGCCCTCAGCCAGATCCCAGATGGGCTGCCATTGTCTGTGCCCCCTGCTGGCTGTCACAGGCTGTGGTCATATGTCTGGATCTAACTCAGCTCGACGGTCGGTTGTTTGCAGTTTGGGCTCCTCTGTATTGCTATCGGCACTTCTTGATTGCTGCAGCAGGCCTTCCTCCAGACAGTGCCTGCGACCTCTATGCTCCCTCAGCCACCATGCCTATGTCGGAGCACGAGGCGATCCCTTATGTCACAGGACAAAGCTGCAGGTTTGTTCCGCATGGAGCAGTGCTCCCTTGGACCATGTCCTTTGATGACATGCTAGGCAACCATTTGCCTTGGGATAGTAGTTCCCCCTTCCCGCTGCCCTACCAGGACCCCTGCTACACTGTTGTGTCAGACGACCGGGTGAGAAACTTTTTTCTCCGCCCTGCCAGGTCCATGTTTTACAAGAGTGACCTCGCTGCACTGTTTGGTTACGAGGTCCTTCATCTTACTGTTACACCCTCCAATCCTCGACAGGTCGATGCTGCTTGCTTTGGCCGGCCTAGCCGGACTGTTGTTGCAGTGGGGCAGAGTCACAGACGAGAAACGGACACTTCCCTCACTGTTGGCTTTGTCGATTGTAGGCCGCTGCTTTGGGGATGGAGGCGTATTGTTGTCGACCACGGCTGGGTCGACCTCGGTCTTCTGAAGCGCGCGTTCCAGCCCCATGCCCCGCCCGGATGATCTGTTGCTGCTGAAGGTGTTGCGTCGGCCCGTCGCTGGCTGTGGATTGCTGAGGGCCAGGTCAGTACAATCACGCTTGTGCCGGCCATTTCCGGTTCTCGTGCCCTGGCGTCTTACGACGCACCTGCTGCCGAGACGGCGCTTTCGCCAGATATGCCACTGTCTGGACATGCGCGAAATTCTGCACAGTCTGTTCACAGCGCAGGTGATGATAGCACCAGTCTAGCCCCCACGCCCTTGTCTGGCGTCTGTCACACTCGGGGCCTGTGGCTCCTCTGCGGTCTTGGGTTCTGCTCAGCCATGCTTGCTGTCGGTTATGCAGCTCCAGCAGCCCTGTCACTCAGCCTGCTTGCTTCAAACCTGTATGGGCCGAAATGCAGCCACGTCAGGCCTTCTCTTTCGTTGCTTCTCTTTGGCACTCTCATTTGCTTTGCCATGCCGGTCCAGGGTGTGTGCCCCGAGCACTCTCCTGGTTACAAGGTTGATCAGGTGCCACACAGAGCAGTGCCGACACCCTGTCGCTCGATGTGTAATGCTCGCGTGCCAGGCTTCCACCCTGCAGAAGCCGATGTTGTGTGTGATGCCGCAGATGCGATTGAACGTTTCAGCCTTGTGACCTTGCTTGAGGTAAGTGCTCAATCTTCGGATGAATGGGCTTTTCTTGCCTCCACCTTGCTTGAAACGCTCTTTGAGTATAACCAAGGTGGGACTGCAGGATGTGACAAGCAGGCCCCGACCCTGCTTCACTTGACAGAGGTAGTTCCCATAAGTGACTACCAGCAGCAATGCCTGGACCTTGAGAGTCTGCTGCCCCACACCTCTGCCTCCCAGGTCGACTGGCTCGATGTCGATCTTACTGCAGTTTTACACAACAAATCTCTTCCCCTTGAGCTTCGCACGCGTTTTGTCGATTTGCCCACCTGGTTTGCAATGAACTGCCCAGAGGTTCATAGGCTTGTGGTTTACACCGATGGCTCGGCGGCCACCGATACTGCGGATGTACGCCCTTGTGCATGGGCCTTCGCGGTTTTCGCAGCTTGTGATGTCGGCCTACTTTTTGTTGGCCAGGCTGCCATGCAAGCCCGACCACCTTGCTCAGCCTTCCATCTTGGGGAAGCAGTTGAGGCTGCCGAACTACTTGCCATGTGTTGGGCACTGGCTTGGACTGCACACTTTGCTCCTGCCTATGCTGTGCCGGTTCATTTCAGGTATGATTGTTTGTGTGCCGGGGAGGGAACCTTTGGCTCTGCAGCTCTGCCCACAGGCAAGCATACAAATGTTTACCAAAATCTTGCCCAGCTCGCTGTTGTGTTACGTCAGTATGCCTCTGCCAGAGTTCAACTTCATCACGCCCATGTGAAAGGTCAGTCAGTCGATGCTTTGGCCAAGACAGCCAGATTGCCATCTGTTGATGAGGATCAGGTTGTTCTACCCTCATGGCCAGCCCGACTGGCGCAACATGGCCTTCGCGACTGGGCCTGGGCTTTCGTCCCTGGCAAGCCTGATCTTCCGAACCCCTTCTCTTTTGAGGTTGAAGCTAGCTTGTCTCAGCGCTACTTCCAACGGCCACAGACAGCGCCTACGCTCGGCATTGGTCAGCGTGCGCTTCCGGAAGCTGAGGCATGCTTTAGCCTCACATGCGTCAGTTTCAATGCACTCACCATGCGCGATCCTAAAGGGCCGCGACGCCAGCAACACCCAGTTGGGATGGGCCTTCTTGGTCGCAAATCAGTTTTGAAGGCCTCCCTGGAGTCGTACAAGCCACACCTGCTGGGCCTGCAGGAGACACGCCTTCCCGACACAGCAATGCAGCCTGATGACGAATATTTTATTTACAATTCAGCTGCCACATCTGCCGGGACGGGTGGCTGTGCGCTCTGGGTGTCCAAGAAGACGCCCTACGGGCGCGGGCCGGAGGGCCCGCTTTTCTTTTGTGAAAACGATGTCACGGTTGTCAGTCGTTCAGATCGTCATCTCACTGCAAATGTGCTCACTGATCGTCTCCGCCTACATGTCCAGGTTCTACACGCTCCGTCCGGAGCGCACACTCCAGTTGAGGTCCTTGCACACTGCTGGGTTGCTCGTACCTGCGAACTTCAGGCCCGTCCCCGGGGTTCAGACTTTGTGTTGCTTTGCGATGCAAATGCCCGACTTGGCAGCGTCGAGACCGATGCAGTAAGCTTACATCATGGTGAAGACGAAACTCCTGCCGGCAACCTTTTCCACGAATTTCTACTTCGTTGTGATGCTTGGGCACCCTCCACCTTTGCGCATGTTCACATCGGGGACAGCGGCACATGGCGGTCTCCACAAGGCCACTGGTCCCGACTGGATTACGTGGTTGTGCCGCGCTCGTGGAGCGACTTCGAGGTTTCCACTAGAGTGCTCTACGACGTCGAAACTTTGCAGAAACGCGATGACCATGTGCCAGTCTGGTTGTCGTGTACCTTTGCTCGCTGGACACCAGCAGTGGCGTATCAGCGGCATGACCATCGGGCAGTGCGTCCCTGTACGCAGCTCGATCCTGGGGAGCAACAGGCATTGCAGGCCGCCCTTGCCAGTATCCCAGCCACGTCTTGGTCCGTGCCTGTTGACGAGCATTATGAGCAGCTGGCTACCACCTGGTGCACAAATGCGAAACCCTTCACCAAGCCCCTCACCGCACGGCCACGTCAGCCCTTTCTCACCGACTCTACGCTTCAACTCGTTGCTTTCCGCTCGGCGCTTCGTCTGTATCTCAGGGTGAGTCAGGTGAGCGACACCGTCGACTTCTTCTGATCGCCTTTGCGGCTTTCGTGCGGTGTTGGCAAGGCGTGGCTTTTACCCCAGTTGCACGTTCACGTGCAGATTGGTGGTTGGCTTGTCTGGATATTGGCGAGGCACGTGCCCTCTCTGCCTTGTATGCAACCACCAAGCAGATTCGCCAAAAGGTCGGTGAGGACAGACTCGCGTATCTTGAAAGCCTGGCCTCGCAGGCTGCGAACCATGACATGCGAGATCCTCGTGTTCTCTCATTCGCAAAGCCTTCCCATCGGCCCGCCCTTCTCGGCGTAGTGGCCACAAGCCGTTACCGGCTTTGACCGGCCAGCCGGCACTGTCCTTTGCCCAGCGCAATGAAGCATGGCGACAGCACTTTGCCTCTCAAGAGGCTGGAGTCCTCGTTACACCCGAGGAGTATATCAGGCATTTTGCTTCCTACGGGCCCCGACCAGAGTGGAAGCTTGACATCAAGGCTGTCCCCACACTTCTCCAGGTCGAATCCACTATTCGATCGCTCCAGAAGAACAAAGCTGCTGGCGCTGATTCTGTCACATCGGAATTGCTACGTGCTCATGCTCCTGCGACTTCCCGGCAGCTACTGCCGGTACTTGCCAAGGCTTCCCTTCGAGCACTTGAACCCGTAGCCTTCCGTGGCGGCGAGCTGTTCCTACTGGCAAAAAAAGCCTCTGGCCTGCTAGGGTGTGAAGGATTTCGATCCATTCTGATTTCGTCTGTGCCGGGAAAAATCTATCATCGTTGCATTCGTCAGCAGCTTCTCCCTGCTTTTACCAAACATCGCCCTCCTTTCCATGGCGGGGTTGTTGCAGGGCAGGGTATGGACCTTATCTCCCTAGTGGCCAAGACTTTCTTTGTTCACGCCAATGTTCAGCATCAAGCCGCCGCACTGGTCTTTTTTGACCTGAAGGCCGCCTGCTATCAGGTCTTGAGACAAGCCTTGGTCGAGACCTGTGATAGCGATGCATCCCTGCTTCGCCTCTTCCATGCCTTGAACATCCCACCGGCGGCAATTTGCGAATTGAAGGAACACTTAGCCAAGGCATCCCTTCTTGTTGAGGCACAGGTATCAGCACACACACGTGCCCTGGTGACGGACCTCTTTGAGGGCACCTACTTTCGCCTCTCCACCAGTGCCGATCTTACGCTCACTGGCAGAGGATCCCGCCCAGGAGATCCCATGGCTGATATCCTGTTTGCCTTTACACTTTCGGCCTTTGTCAAAAGTTCTCAGGTCGAGCTTGGACGACGAGGACTGCTGGCTGATTGGCCAATGCAGAGCACTCGACCAGATTTTATTGCCTTTGATGGGCCTGTCTTCCTCTCCTGTCCTGCTTGGGCTGATGACTTCTTCCTCCCGCAGTCCAGCCACACCTTTGCCGGCCTGGTGCAACATGTTGTCGCCTCGGTTGAAGTGCTGCAAGCCCGTGCTACTGCAGCCGGTATGACTGTCAAGTATGGGGAGGATAAGACTGCCGTGCTTTTCCCAGCAGAGCTTCTGGCCCGACACAGCTCCTTGCTGGACACAGCTGAAGGTGGTTTAGGCTTGTACATCAGAGACAGTCAGGCAGGTCGGCACTTTTTGCCTGCAGTGCAAGCCTACAAGCACCTTGGGGGCATCTTGACCTCCGATGCCAACCCGATGCCTGACTTACACCTGCGTTTCGCTCATGCAATGGGGGTGCTGCGTCCGCTCCGAAAGCGCTTGTTTGGGGCTCTGCGCTTTGATCTTGCTGTTCGTCGCAATCTCTTGCGCTCCTTGGCAGTCTCCCGTTATGTGCACTCGGCATCCTCGCTCATTTTCCCGGCCGCGATTCATCGTAGAGCTTGGGAACGGCAGTATGTTGCCTTGTGGAGGCCACTTTTAGCCCGAACTGCAGCCGACTCCACCCAGCACAGCTATGCGGTCCTGCTGGCTGCGCAGGCGCCTTCCCCTCCTCTTGCACTTGCTAAGGCCCGAGCAGGTTGTCTGCAGAAGCTCTTCACCCGAGGACCTCGTGAGCTTCTTGCCTTTCTATGGGACCACTGGTCTTGTGCCCCAAGGCGTGCATGGCTCACGCAGCTGCAAGAGGATTTCCTTGCCGTTTCGGCTTTTGTGCCGGCTGTCTGTACCTACCTTGGTCAGGCGCGATGCGGTTGTTGAGTCCCTCCTTGAAGCCTTTCATGATAGCCCCTCGTGGTGGGGCCGGCGGCAGTTAAGGTCTTTCTGCAGGACCTTGATGTCTGGAAGGACCAACGTCGGGGCCGCCTGCCCTCTGAGGCTGATCCTCCTCTGGCCGTGGAACAGCGCTTCTCCTGCTACTTGTGCTCTGCGTCTTTCCCTCTCAGGAAACACCTTCATGCCCACCTAGCCAGGTCACATCAGGTCTTTCTCCTGCCCGACATTTTGCTCTGAGCAGCGAGTGCATGGCTTGCTTAAAGCTATTTCCTGATGTGCTTCAGGTGCAGCAGCGTTTGAAAGTGTCGGCCAATTGCCTAGCCCGGTGCCTGTACCTCTATCCCCCTTTGGACTTAGATGAGGTCAAACGTCTTGAGGAGCCCTTCAAAGCCCGGCTTAAAGCCTTCAAGAAAGGCAGCTGGCATTCCTACACTGCCAAAGGACCGCCCCGAAAAGCCCCTTTTGTTTTCGGGCCACCACTTCCTACGGCAGTAGAGAGGCACAGTGGACTTGCAGGTGATGAGTCTGATACCCTAGCTTCACTTGCCAGGCATTTTGTCCCTAAAGACTGCCACGTTGTCTGGGTGCAAGACTTCCTGAACGGGAGGAGTACAGAAGGCACAAGGACAGGGGCAAGATCTTTTTGGACCCAACGGCCTACAGGCCGCGACTGAATTTATTGCATGCATTTTTGGGACGCGCTGCCCAGTGCTGCAACACGCGGCCCGCAGCTCGACTGTCCGCAATCAATCAATCAAGTTCGCTTGATATAAAGAATCATACCGGCATATCCTGTTTGTTGGGTCGAAGCAAATAGCAGGTACGGTACCTTGGAGATCAAGGCTAGAAGGTCTGACAGAGAAGCCCCCTTGAGGGGGAATGATGTGGGCAAATATCTGATTGCCTACCAATGCCTGCACAAAGCTTTCAGGACATTCAAAGGCAAGTGTCATTTCAGCAGCTTCCCCAGTTGCCACTCCACCATCAACAAACAAGTGTCTGCTGCAGGGAGAATTGTTAGGTGCACCCTCTGTACACCTGACGACCTGCTTGGGGGACTTAGGGTGGAAGCCAGGGCCACTTGCTCTGAGCTTGGCCACCAGGCCACACCTGAGCAGTTGGCATGGCATTGTGAGACAAGTCTGAAAGTCTTCACAGCTTTAGTGCTGCATGGTGTCTTTGACATGAAGGACCCTGGATGACAGCATGTAGCTACTGTAGATGTTAGTGCCTCGAGCAAGCCATGTGTTTGTGTGTGTGTGTGTATGCAGTTTCCATGCTTATGTGAGCAGCGAGCGAGTCCAACCAACGGCCTTTGTAATTGAGCCCTGTGCTTGTGTATATAGTATGCAGCCTCAGTTTAAGCCTGGAGTAAGCCTTATGTGTGGTTTGAAGGAGATCTCAGTCCAAGACTACAAGATGGCCCTTGAGAAAGCTTGGGATGAGTTTCAGAGTTTCCCTGACCACGGCCCCGGCTTTGCAGCTCGAAGACGTGCTTGGTTTAAGCTTTTGTCCACATTGGGACATATCTCTGGCCGATATGAAAGATATATATTTACATCATTCAGGAAATATGTGGTGTATTACAGAAATGGATGGGGTTTGTCTACTTCCAAGAAGTGCTACAAGTCAAGTAGATCTGCGACAAGGGAAGGCTTGTCTCAAGCCGTGGCTGACTGGTGTGCAGACGGTGGCGATGCCTGGCACCTCACAGTCAAGCTAGACTGACAGCCTCGGTGCCATCAAAAAGCCTGAATGAATGCATCCTTCAGTGCATTTTGATTGGTCCCAAGTTCCCAAGAACTTTGCCAGGCCGGTGAAGCTACGTGTGCGAGCTGGATGGATCGGTGCGACTTTGAATCAGCTCGTCTGCATTGTGACTTGGTGCGATTTTGAATCTCGTGTGTGTGTGTGTGTCTTGGTGCGACGTTAAAGAAGCTTGTGTGCAGTGCGACTTTGAAGTAGCTTTGTGTGCAGTGCGAATTGGTGCGGTCAGCTTGTGTGTGACTTGGCACGACTTGGAAGCAGCTTGTGTGCAGTGTGACTTGGTGCTACCTTGGATCAGCTTGTGTGTGCAAAGCAACTCGGTGCTGCAATATGTGTTTCTTCTTGTGTGTGCCGGTGTGCAAGTGCGACTGGAAAGTGTACATGTAAAGAAGAGGAGTGGTAATGTTTGTGAAAGAGTTTTCGGGTTTAGGGTCTAGACCCGAAAATCAGACTGTGTGCGGTGGGGCTTGAGGGTATGTGCAGTGGACCACAAGTGGGGGGTCGGGCTCACAATTGGGCCAAAGGCGAAAAGCTTATTTGCAAAGCAACTTGTTGCGATCTTCAAGCTTGTGTGTGGCTTGTTGGCACGGCTTTGAAGTAGCTGATGTGCAGTGCGAGTTGGTCGACCTCTAAGTTTGTGTGTGACTTGGTAGGACTTCGAAGTAGCTTATTGTATGCAGTGTGAAGTGGTGCTACCTTGGATCAGCTTGTGTGCAATACGGCTTGGAGGCGTGTGTGCGACTTGCTTGAGTGATTCAGCTTATGTGTAACTCCAAGCCCCCAGGATGGGGGAGGACTGTGGGCGAGCCCCAAAGTGGAGCTTTCACAAGAGAGTTGTGAGAAGAAATCGGCGATTTTTGAAAGGGTTCGAAGTGCAGGACGTAGTACCGATTTTAGGCTTCTGAAAACAGCACCTACTAAAATGCAACAATTGTTATTCGGGTCAGAATGCCAAAGGCCACTTTCAAAATTTGGAATTTTGCATGGGCTGAGAAGTGTCCCGGAAATGACGATGGACAGAGTGGGAGGAAAGGGGCCAGACAGGGGTCTGGAGGCTCAAAAAAAGGGGAGGGGTGTCAAAGCTGAATTTCCATGCAAAGAGCCAGCAGCGCCAAATTCGTATGATTTCGAGATCCATTAGGGATTGGAAAATCTTGAATTTTCGCATTCAAGCATATAGGTTTTGCTGATGAACAAAATGGATGTTGAGCATTCCTATCAGCAGTGCCACTGCAATACCACTACAATACTACTGCGATACCACTGTAATACTACTGCAATATTACTGCGATACCACTACAAATGCTGCTACAATGCTACTAAAATTCTGCTACAATGCTACGACGATGCTACTATGCTACTACAACAATACGACTACAATACGACTGCTGCACACTACGACGACGACGACGACTACGGCTGCTGCCGCTGCCACTGCCACTGCCACTACCACTGCTACTGCTACTGCCGCTGCCACTGCTACTCCTACTGCTACTGCGACGGCTGCTAGAGCTGCTGCTGCTGCTGCT